AATAACTTGTAAATATTAATTTAATAATGTTAAACATAAACATAATGTTAAATATGAATCAAACATTTTTAATCTGATCCTTAGTGGAAAGGTTAAACAGATTAGATGCAGAATGACTTTTCTGGAAACATATTGTCATTCACATAGCTAGTTATAATAAAAGAAAATGGTGCTAAGTTGTACTTTATTGAAGTTTACCGATGACTGCGTCAGCAGGTACAACATTAGTTCTCATAGATTTTCTGTTAGACAGGGCCATTACGTTTTGCTTCATATCTAAACCAGGGCCTACCTTTTATATAGCTAGGCCAGACGGTTTAGGTTTTATGTGTATAATTAAGTGGTACGATGTCCTTAGACAGGATTACGGCCACGTAACAGCAGGCAGCAGCAAGCACTACAGGCAGCAACACTGGACTCCCTTCTCCCAGATTTTGTTCTATGCCCATCTTCCTGAATTACTGTCATTTTCGACACCTTTAAAATAGTTTTCGCAACCGACTATTGAAACTGTTGATAAGAATCTTGAATTTGAGTTTTTTTTTCTCAAAATTGTTTTAAATTAGGTTAGTCTACCCTTCATTGTCGAGAGGCGGAACTGCAAGTCCTCCTTACAGGTCACCATGTTATGAAGCACAATCTTACCGATACCAGTTTTCTTTATATGTCAGCTTTCCGTCGAGCGATCGCCCAATATCGGAATTCCTCCATTCACCGACTGCCTTGACTCCAGATATTATTGTTGTCAGTAGAGGGAAGACCTTTGTACTTCCTCCATGCCTTGTACTTGGCATTAGCTGCCACACGGCAGGAATAGCCAGTAGAAGAATATCTGAAAGCTTGGTCTCTCAATGCCGGTGAGAGAGGTACTCGTGCTGGAGATATAAAATGTCTTTGGTTATTTTCCCTTCTCCCATTGTCAGGCTGTACGAGTAGATTCCTTTTTATTTGTTTTGTTTAGTTTACATGGTCAGAATAATTAAGGCAGCCATTGTATTATATAATTAACCAACGTATCTAAGAGATCTTCAATTAACTGTCTCCTCAAAATTAGCCACAATAAGGAGACGGATATAATAGCGGAAATCTTTAAAAAACATTCATATTGAAAAATGTTAGCACATCAACATTAATATGTATGAATTATTGCTGCAGTACAAGGAAGTTCATACTATAAATCAAGTTAGTTGTATCAGTATCCTTTCATTGAATTTGGTACTATGGACACACTAGTATGGAGGACTTAAAATTTATACACACCAAGGTAAAAACGGCTTTCTTGTGTTTAAAAATGACATCATTGGCCTTAGTACTTAGATATTTGGTGAATATTACTACATTATAGTCATGAGGAAGGGCTAAACCCATTAGGGTCATGCAGCGTCTGGAGACTGGGAGGCAATCAAGTTCGACCCAAGTAAGGGGATGGTAGGTTCAGTTCCATGAGTGGATCAAGAGTGTCACCAGTGTCTCGGCACCTTGAAGAGTAAAGCACCCAACAACACCTCCCTTGTTTACATTCTTGTCACGTCCCAGCCAGAAAGCTTAACCAGAATTTTTTAGCAAAGTTCACTGGTGACTTGTCATACTTGAATATGTACGATACCGTAAACATATCAGAAGGACTTAGCAAAGAAGTTGGTTAGGTGGTAGTAAACAAGATGTATTCCCCTTGGTTAAGTGTAGTGTGGTTATCCTTGGGAGGTAAGATGTCGCATCATATTCCTGTGGTCAAGTATAGGGCTTAAAGGCCAATGAGGAACTGTATAGGAGTAGCTGGGCAAGAACAAGAATCCTCATACAGTAATTAGAACTTATGTCTATAAACAATTAGCATTCCATGACATTCTCTCTCTCTCTCTCTCTTTCTCTCTCTCTCTCTCTCTCTCTCTCTCTCTCTTCTCTTCCTCTCTCTCCTCTCTCTCTCTCCTCTCTCTCTCTCTCTCTCTCTCTCTCTCTCTCTCTCTCTCTCTCTCTCTCTCCCCTCTCTCTCCTCTCCTCTCTCTCTCTCTCTTTACACAGGGTTTGACAAGGTTAGGTTAAGGATCCCTAGCTTTGTTGCTATTTACAGGTTAAGAATTCCTAACTTTATTGACAAGCTAAGAACTGTTACCTTCATAAGCTCATTTGAAAGCACTTTTAGTTATGAGACATACAAGTAGGGAACAGGATGAAGTTAGAGCCATCTGTGGGCCAGCATTTTCATTTGATCAACTGACTTTATCTCGTTGACATCATAATGTTGTACAAATGTGTTCCAAACTCGAGTCATCCTGGGGATAAATGATCTCAGATGAATTGATGTTCTGGCGAAGTTGCTGCTTTCTGCCCGTCTTGTGGTATAGAAGCCTGCTTCACGCTGTCTTCAAGCTCTCTCTCTCTCTGTCTCTGTCTGTCTGTCTCTCTCTCTCCTCTCTCTCTCTCTCTCTCTCTCTCTCTCCTCTCTCTCTCTCTGTGGAAAATTCGTGTACAAAACACCCAGTATTACATAAAACATTCC